AAGTTGAGTCAGTTAAAAGTTTTAATTACTCCAAACCAGAAATACAGGAATTTAATCAACGCTTGAATTCAAGCTTGTGCAAAGATCAAAAAGCAGAAAGAAGGAATTTTGAAGGTATTGATGAGTTGGACGCTTCTAAAGTACAAAACCTTGAAGGAGAAAGTATGAAAATGATGTATGATAACGAGAATGAACTGATCAAAACACAACGCCATGGTAAATCCAAGAAAGGCCGGGCTAAGAAACATTTTGAAAAAACAGAAAACAGTTCGGAAGATAAAACTATTAAAAGTTCTTCCAAATCTAAAGATGATCAGAATAAATTAGTGTTCAATGATGTGGCCAAACTTTCAGAGACCACAGATGATCAAAAATCACTCGATTATGCTGAAACATTTGATATTAATGAAAAGTTAGAGCGTTTAGTACCTGATTCACAGTTGGAAGATAATTCTGCTAAAAGTGATGGTATAGTTATCTCTGCAACATTAGAAAATGAAGATGATCATGAATCTAATGAATTACAGATTGTTGAGGAGTTAGAAATCGATAAATTTTATCCTGAGCCAGAGTCTTTGGAAGAAACAAATTTGAAACAGTTAGTACAGGAACAACAAGTTTCTGAGAAGAGAATTGAATTATTAGAGGACAAAATCAAGTATTTTCAGTCAGTGGATGATGATGAAGTTTCGTCATCCTCAAGTCTAGCTGACAAACCTTTGTCTCAAATTTTATTTGAAAGAGAAGAAAAATTGGAGATATATAAAGAGCAAACAAAGGAACGAGAGTCTTCCACGACATTCCCGAAGGATTCTGACAACGAGCCAAAACCTGAAGAGAAACAAGAAGTCGAGAATAGCGACCCTAAAGCCACCAAATCTGATATGGATGATAATTCTTTAGACACAAATGAATTAATTGGCAACCAAAATTCTGACAAAAATTTGAATACCAATGACGAACAAGCAGAGCAGCAGATCGCATCAGAGGAAGAATGTGAGCCAGAAGCATCGAAAACAGCGGAGGATTCTGACAAGGACTCCAAGATTTCATCAGAGTCTGAGAACAGCGAGGCAATTTCATCAATAATTGGTAGTGGTCGAAAATCGAGCACCAGTGATCGTCAAAATCCGAGCAAAAAGGTGTCCAGGAGCCACAAATACTCTAACAAGGACAACTACAGGAAATCCAGAGGCAAGAAGTCTTCTATAAGGAACAAGATCGCCGATTTGACCAGTGAAAGCGACGACAGTGAAAATGAGGACAAAATTGAATCACAAAACAAGAGCAAAATCGTGAAGAGTGTGTTTGGCAGAGTTTTTGGCGGTGAGAAGACAGACAAAGTTAAGGAGGTACTGAACGACTGGGTGTCCAAGTCAGAAGACGATTCAGATCTCTCCAGAACAGGCTTCAGATCTTCCAGTTCCAACGAAGGAAAGACTAAAGACTCAGGCGACAAGAAAAGACACTCAGTTTCATCCTCTATACCTTCTAGTCCCAAGAAACGTTCTGGAAAAAGATCCAAGAAGAGCTCTTCTTCGGACAGAGCCAAGGAGAGAAATCTAACCTATGAGAACCAAGGTGAGCATCGATCTAGAAAACACACAAAATCAAAGAACAGCTCCAATATTAAGAAAACACATGATGCAGAAGCTTCAAATAATTACTTCTTATTGTTACCAGCAACCAAGTGCAGACTCAGCAAGAAGAGAGCAGAAGAATTAATTTCTAGGACCTTTGAGGACGATTTTACTGACGTCAATGCTGACAAGAGCCAGAAAGCATTGAAACACAAGGAGCCAAATTATGGACTGAGGAATCAAGGCAAGCCTGACTTGACGATCAAAGACAGTGGCTATGGGTCCTTCAACTATGACGAAGATTCTTCCAAAGTGGTGCCTTTGGAAGATGCCATAGAAGAAGACGATCAGAAAGCGATCAAGAAGAGAAAGCTGACAGGTTTTAGAAAAAGTAAAGGTAGAAACGAAGAGGAAGATTGGAGAGATCTGGTGGTAGAGAAAAGAGTTTCGAAGAATCCTAAGGAGTCAGGCGACGAGGAGGACAATTTCACCAAGGTTCATCTTGAGAGAGACCCCTTCACTAGCCGAATGTCTGTTGATCTGGAATCTTCTCAAAGTTGCAGCAGTCTAGCACCCAGTAGCGTGAGGAACAGGTCTCCAAGTATGGACAGAAACTCGCAGACCACTAGAGATTCTGACATAGACGGTGAAGAAGACGAGGACATGGGCCACAGGCGAATTTCTCCCTTGTTCTGTGGAACACCTAGAAGTTCCATAGAGACCAGCTCCAACAGTGAAAATGAAGAAGAAGAGGAAAATTTGGCTACCAACGAGACTGCAACTAGGAAAAGAAGCTCCAGCGAGTTCTCTGGTGAGAAAATCGTCATTAGATCACCCTCTTCGAGCCACAAGAGCGAAGTAGTCACTATTGCACCCACTGACGCGATAGAGGACAACGCTCTGGATGTTCCTCAAGAGATTGAGACCACGAAGCCTAGACAGGGCAAAGTTCTGAACTTCGACGAGGAGCTGTTTGTCGAGTGTTGCTCCAGGTTGAAAGCCACCACTGAGAATGAGCTTAGGGGAGCTAAAAAGATCAAACTGGATCACAACGAAGGTTACCATAGGAAGGATGAGCAGCAGCAAGGGTTCAGGGGACCCAGGGATCGGTGGAGAGACGTCGAAAGCCAGAACAGCCTGGGAAGTCTTTTGGAATCCGTGAACCAGGTGAGTATTTCGTTAGATTAATTGAAGTTTTGCATGCTTCTTCGGATATTTCAGATATAATAAAGGTATTAGGATCTATAGGAGGGCAGATTTGGCTTTGTTTGAGTATCTGTGCTGAATTGATAAATTTAAAGAAATGGCGAATTAACATATTTTATTAAAGTATCTTGATTCTTATTTTAATTGCAATATTTTTTCTTTCTGTGTATTCTGCATGTTTTTATCAATAGATCTTTCTTATCAGCTGCTGATAACGCTGATTAAATCAGCCAATTAAAAAAATCGATATTGCTAAAAAATTAATTTGGAACAGTACGGTAAGTTGATAGCTTTTTGAAGGGATACATAATTTATTTACTATTGTTTAAGATATATGATTCACTACTTCATTGATAAGCCTACACTTTGCATGCACTATTCTCTTTCTTACTTTTCTTTTTATTATTCGCTTGGCTTGGCGATCTTATATTATGTAGTAGCTGAAAAAGTTCAACTTTCAGCTCAGTCTGCGGTTCTCAGTTTCTTTTGTACATGCTTACAGAATGTTTATTTGTAGGGGTGTTTTCTAAACATAAATAATAAGTAAATTCAATGAAATAACAAATATTACACAAACTACAAAGATATCGATGATATATTAATATGTGTACAAAAATATTAAATTATTATTAAATTTCTTCTTAAAACGGGATATGACACTGTAGCATTAAATTTAATATCACAGTCATTTTAGGATAAAATTGGTACGTAAATATTTCAGAATTAAGATAAACTGGATTACACCCTTACACGAAATTCTCAGAAGGGAATACTCTATACATTATTGTGGTAATGTTTGCAGGACCTATGAACCAGCTTTATACAGACAATGTCTCTCAGTATGCATGCAAAAGGTAGTTCTCTCATTCCTTCGACATTTCTTAGTGTGTATGGTAATTCCGAAACTTGTCCCTTCAGATATGATGTTTTTTAATGTCTTGGATATAAAAATGCAAGTAACCAATGCTGAGCATTATTACTAAATATCTCTAATCATTCTACAAATTTTTATCCTATCTTCAAATGCATTATATCTTTCCTAAAATTCATTTTTCTCTGCAAAATCTCTATTTTTTAATAGAAAAAGGTTCAGCTTGGCGTTAATAACACTACCTATTCATATTAACGTTATTTGCACAAGAATAAAATTTCCACATCCTCTATCCTCACTAACTACTTTCCTAACTAAACCAATTTTTGAAAGAAATTTTATCTATTAGTAGATTTAATTTTACTGATCAATGTGTTATCCTCTGATAGTATCTGGAGCATATTGCTGAAAATTATGTTCTAATTGCTGCAAAGTAGCCCATTTCCAAGTAGCCAATTCCAAAATAGTTGGTTAATCTTCAATCCTCTGTATCTCACTTTTAGGTCCTAATTTCTTCCAACAGCTTCACTTTTGATCAGTTAAACAGTAGATTCTTTGTACTGGCCTTCTTTGTAACCATAAATAATAGCTTCCTGATTATTCTCTGGATATTCAGATAGCCATTCTCTAGCTTTAGATATCTAATCAAGGCCAGCAAAATACTCTTAGTCTCACAGCGTTTTCAAATGGTCGACTCTGCAAGCAAGCATCTAGTAGAAAGCAGAAACTATCATAGGGTACCCAGATTCTCATACAAAGAGCATCCAGAATTCTTCCAAGCGATCATTCACCAATCTGCTCTATTGCAGCTATTGGGTGAAGAGATGTACAGCACCAGAGAGAGGGACTACCCAAAACGGGGTTGCAGAAACCTACGAAGCGAGCATTCCAGCAGATCAGCCAGCCCCGACATGTCCAGAGTTGACAATCTAGGCTACGAGGACAGTCTGGACGTTGCATTTGAGCACAACAACAAACTCAGGGACAAGATCCAGCAACGCATGAGAGAGTCTGAAAACCTGATAGCCAGCACGTTTGGTCAGAAAAACAGTAATGAGATTATACGCGGGGAACATCCGTCGAAGAACAACGAACATGACATGCTGAGGAACTCGTACTCCTCTCTGCAGGATCAGAGACACTTGTCTGGTACAAATTTGTCCAATGGAGGCTACAATGAGTCTTTGCATGTTAGAGGACTACAGGAGGAGCATGGTGCAAAGATGAACCTGGATTCTTCAGAACTCAAGAGCAAAATGAATTCTTCTCTGGGTGGCTTATTGGACAAGGCGTTATCCAATTTGCTGCACAGCAACGAAAAACATGATCACAAGTGAGTAATTTGCCAAGAACATGAAAGCTGCCAATAATTCTGGTTACCGTCAATTAATGAATTGTGAATATTCGTGCATTTATGAAAGATTGACAAATGCAAAAATACACAGAATGTATATAATAGGAGAATTTTGTTTACCTGAGTCCAAAAGACTCCATACAATAGGAATTCACTGATTTTTTGTTCCATTACGTGTCAGACGATTATTTTATATACAAAAATAAATGAAAAATTAAATTCTATGTTAACATTGACTGTTAATGGATGCAAGTAAATAGAATATTCGTTGAGTTTTTTAACCGCGTTCATCGGCGCTTACAGTAGCAATTATTGGCCTTTTCGTGTTTCGTTTTTCGAACCGATACTCGATAGGATTTTTACAACATATTTAAAGCAGTCTCACAATCGTTTTATAGAGAAAGGAGATTTCAGAACGATGTCGAGCAGCCAGTGAATCGTTCGTTATACCTACATACATACATCGAATGAAGTGTCTATCTTTTGCAGCAAAAATTGCAATTCATACAGTAGATCGAATATCAAAGCCAGTTTTTCATTTCCACACCTGTTGATTGCGCCTTTGAACGACCACGTTATAATTCCTTGTTTTTGTCCGACGAATCATCGATACGTCATTGCTGCCATTGTGGAATTCCCCTGAACGTCGATGAACATTATACCGAATCCTCCTTTTGTCGTCCAACAATAGCCTCCTTGTGCTTTTGCCACATTATACATTCAATCTCGAACGATTCCTTAAACGTCCTTAAGATCACGAATTTTTAAAGATATAAGAATTTTATTATAAACATATTATTAAACATATTTACAGATAACAAAATTTGCAATAGGTAGCTTCCACTTAATAAGCTCTAATTCGCCAACTCTAAAATTAAAAAGTTTTTAAGAATTCCTAAATATCTAAATTTTCTAAATTTCAAATTTTAGAATTGTTTAACTTTTAAACACCTAATTCTCTAAAATTTAAAGAATCCTACATACCAAAAGTTCCGCTAACACGAGCTACCAAATTTCATCGTTATACCGCTGACATCTTTGAAACCGTCAAGAGTCTCTAGCCAAGTGTCGAAACAGCATGATATCTGTAAATTACAAGACACCGGTGTCTCGTTGAATGGTTCCCTATTCGTTCCTGTTAAGTATTGATCTGAGCCTGTCACTCCACCCACCAACGGCGAGGTATCTCCACATAACAACGCTGGGAATATACGTTCTGATGTTCGTTATTTGGCCAAACAACGATTCAGAGTCGATGGAAACTCCGGCTGAAAGTGCATTTCTCTTGCTAGCCTGGCTTGGCCGTTCCCTGGTTCGGAATAGGAAACGTGCAAGGATAAATATGTTCCAGGTGGCTGTAAATCTATTGCCATATAATAGTCATGTTGATATATGGCTCGATTCTTGCGTGTAATAAATGAGACTGGATTTTGAGACAGGATTTATCCTATAAAAATTTTCATGTGTCAGTTTACTGGGTTTATGAACTAGTATGACACTCAGTTAAGATATTCAAATGGGAACCTTTAATAAAAATATTATCAAAATGAAACTTAATAGAAGAGTATTAATTACTGACGTTCAATCTGAACAAATATTTAGATTTGCTGTAAATTAATTTTGTCAAATTTATTTTCTAAATTATATAATAACAAATATGTAATATAGCATATTAAATTAGTAATATAGCCTTTATTAAATTAGGTATCAAATTTACTTACATTTATACACTTACTACAAAACCATTTCATCCGCAATCCTTATCATCCGAATTACGTATCATTGTAATTTCGCTTTTTCTAACCTAATATTCAAAATCATTCTGTGTACAGTGGATCTACGCCGATGAAGGTTCTAGCGGAGCTAGCGTGTGCCAGAGCCCCAACATCTACATCCGGGGACGTAGCATCTCAAGAATCTGTTCAATCTGCAAAAACTACTCCACTAAACAAAGATGCACCTCTGGAACCAAATCCCATAACCATGTCCAAAGATCTTCAGAAGAAGTCCAGAAACCCCATCAAGGAGCTCTTTGAAAGAAAGAAAGAGATGAATGAAAGAAAACAACAAGAAAAGTCAAAAACAGAAGCAGCTCTCAGAGAACTGAATGTTCACAGACAAAGGAAGACTAAAAAGACGAAGAAGCACCAGAACTTCCCTCTGATTCGACGTAATGAGCATGGCGGCTTGGCCGAAAGGAAGAAACGCCGTGATGGCTTTGAAAGAAAAGATGAGTTCGTGTCAGATAGAATTAAAGATGTCTATGAGTTCGACGAGGAGGAAAGTCAGATAGAGCCTAACTTGGGTAGTGTGATGTCTTACAGGAGTAGGCCAGGCTATGAAGTGAGCTGCTTGAAAACTAAAGAGGTGGACGTGGCTGGATTAATGTCTAAGGCCATTGGAGATACTCTAGAGAATGGAAAAACTGGCGATGCCCTAAGTACCAGACTCGAATCTATGATTGATAGGAAATTTAAGGAGTTAGAGAAGTTTGCCCCAAAGACGAAAGGCGCTCTGAAATCCTTCCAGAGTGAGGATCAACAGAGACAAATTACTGGACCCATGGATGAGTTCGTGGAAAGAAAACCAACGAAAACTAAAAGGCCTATGGAGCAATCTTTGAAGCATTCCAAACTGAAAAAGAGGAACAAAAATCCTAAAAAGAAGACTAGGAATGCTTGGTACGAGAATGACAGCTCTGATGAGTATAGAACTGCCGTGAAGACTGAGGATGTTGGTGTAGGTATTTCAAAGAGTCAAAGAACGTGTTCAAAAGGGAAGCAAAATATTTTCGCAGAGTTATACACCTCCTCGGAGAGTGAGTATGAAAATGGAGACGCGGACTACGAGTCCAGAAGGCAAAGGAGAGTAAAGAAGAGCAGCAAGAAGACAACAGAATTGGAAAACGTGGAACAGATTCAAAAATTAGTTAACAAATACTCCTCTGATAACGAAGATCACGTAGACGATTGGAGAAGCCAGGATTTAAAGAACGACACTCCCAAACATGATTGTGATAATAAAAAATCTGAATCGGAGATGTCCGATCATCCTCTGATTATTGATGAGAGAAAAGATCTGGATGAACCTAGGAATAGCGACGACGAAACTGAGAATCAGTATGAGAGAAATTTTGAAATGGATGACCTATATAGAGAAGACAGTTCTATTGTTGAATCAGACGTGGAAGACTCGGCTCCCGTAGAACCACCAAAGATCGCAGAAGAGTTCAGGGTAAAGAGCCCAAGTTTGCCAGGGGAGAAGACTGATGCCAAGACAGATTACACGCAGGAAAGTGAGCGCGAGCTGATCCCATTAGAGGAAGCTTTGGACCTTCTAGATCAAGCTGACAATGAGAACTCCCTAAGTGCAAGGTACGGTGAAGCAATCAGGCCTGCTAAGCCCGAGGAGCATATCAATCCAGTGATGACAACAGAACCTGAGAATGAAACATTCAATCCTATCGAGGATTCTGATCCTCTGCCAGCGGCAAAGTCTCCTACTCCTATAGAGGAACAAGAGGAGGAGCCTGACAACGATCTTTTAGCCTTACCAGAAAAGTTGTCAAGTAACGAAAAACCACAAAAGGAATCCGAGAATCTTCCACTGCATGTGTTCCTGAGCAGAAAGGTGCAGGAGTCGAAGAAAAAGAAGGAGCAACAGTTGAAGAAGATGCAAGAAGAACAAGAAAGGATACTAATGGACTTCCAGCCCACCAGGAGACAGAGGAAATGCGCTATCGGAAAACAAGGATTATTAGCAGAGATCAGTAGCTCTGATGAAGAAATAAGTCCAAAGGATAGGAAAATGAGTGATAAGTCAGATCATGATAAGCCAAGGAAACAAAAGAGGGAGTCAAAGGAGAAGAGGAAAGAGAGGTATATAGAGAAGAAGCATGAACAAATGATAGCCAAAGAACAAAAAGCCATAGAGGAGGAGATCCTGAGAGAGGTTGGAAAGAAGAAGGAGTCCCTTGCACAGAATATTACAGATGCAAAAAATACTGTAGACATGAATGGTACAAAGAAAGCAGAGAACACTGAGTTAACAGAAAACAAAATGCCTCAAGAAGCAGCACAGAAAAAGAAACATCAAACTAAGGAGAAACAAAAAAAGCAGGCCAAGACAGATGAAGATATGTTTGCCAAGAATAATCATGAAGGACTTAGTGATTTAGAGAATAATTGCAACAAGTCCACGTTGATGGAAACCAATCATGAAATTGGAAATAATCAAGAGTCTCTTGTGAAACAGAAGAAATATTCCAAGTCTCCAACAAAGCCAAAAAAGGCCTCAAAATCAGACCAGAAAATCACAGCAGGTAGAAAGAATAAAAACTCTAACACTGATAGGAAGAATAGAGCAGATTCAAAGGGATCAAAAGACAAAGAACGTAGATCCTCGAGTGGTAAGCGAGATTCTGATGATGAGGAATTAAAGACAACCAAATCCTGGAATAAAGTCGAAGAAGGAGTTGGAGTAGCCATTGGTCGACGAAAAAGGGCAGCTGCTAATCAACTGTACTATTGGTCCAGTTCTAGTGATGAAGAAGAGATGCTGGAAGTGGTTCCCGCAGTTGAAGAGGAAGAAGATGATCGTCAAGAGCAACATGGTTGGATCGTCGGTGACTCGCATAAGAGGATGATTACCATGCTTGCTATGGAAAAACAGTTAAAGGAGAAACGAAGGAGGAGTGAGGATGAATTTGAGCCTGGCAGGACGAAGAGTAAAAAACACAGAAACAGCACCTCTTGATACGTGTTTCATGACTAGGTTCATAACTAGGATGAATTACAAGAGCAACAGTTTTTGACTGACTAGAAACAGGATGAGGAATACAGAGTTCCTTTTTTCAGAGCCAGCCAGTGTAGTTGGATATCTCACAGAATCTAGGTGATCAGCATGTGTTTTATAATCAGGTTCACATATACAGTTATAAGAAGCTTCTGAGGAGTATGGTGACATTTGTAACATGTGGAAATGAAGAAGTACACTGAGGAGAGAGAGAAAGGCAGACGAAGAGGCAACTTTTGATACGCATTTCATCACTATTTTTCCCAAATGACTCTGAAGAGAGTACATCATTGTTTTTCTAAAGGACTTAGAAGTGGATTCAGAAGAACTGGATTTTCTTAATAACGCATTGCAGAATGACAGTCGAGATGATTAGAAGAAAGACTTTTCTAACCAGAAGTAGCGTAATCGGATCTTTTGATACTAGTCTTAGGCTCGCGAGTGAATGAGACAGAATAGGTTTTCATTAAGGTAGCTAAAGGAACGTTAGATAGTAATGTAAATCTGAGTCAGCAAATTTCTGTCTTTTGTTGAGAAAACAACAACGAAGAGACAGTTTGTAATCGGTTTATGAAGAATGTAGAAATGTATCTTGAGCGAGAGTTTTAGAATTGAAACAATTAGGGGAGAGACTATATCTTATAACCTAGAAGAGTCAGAACTATAATTGTTCATATTTCCTCCTTATTTTTTTTCAAGTATACGAGATAACGCGAAGATTTAGTTTCTTTATTTTTTCTTTCCTCTTTCTTTTATTTTCTTATAGTTGATGCTCTTTATAGTTTGTAGAACGTAGTACTGCAAACGTTCAATAATCGACGCTTATTTGTTCCATCGAGTACGGTGGATATAATGTGACCTACTGCCAGAAGAAATTCCGATTTCTTTCGGTCATATATATTGTTATATAGTAACGTGAATCGAAATGACGAGTGTGTGTCAAGTTTTTTGAAACAATGGAAAATAGGTCACGTGTTGTAATCAAGGTGTGTAAGAAGAAAAAAGCAAAATGGCAACCTGTACATAGCTTGGCATTAATAATAATAACAATGATAATAGTAATAATAATAATAACACTAATAATAACACTAATAATAATAATAGTAATAATTAAAAAAGGCTAGCTCGTATTATGTTAAAAATATAATAATTCCATGCCCTTATAAATATTATAAATATAATCTAATTTAGACTGAATGTGAGTAAATAGCGAACATTAAAAGAAATTGAAAAAAATAATTAAGAGCACCTTTAGACAATACTAGGGACATTTGTAATGTTTTAGTTAAAGTAGCAGATATTTAGGTGATGAGAAACGAATTAAAAGGGAGATTAAGATTAATCAGGCGAAAAAAAAATATTAGAAGGAAGAAAAATGTCATACATTGATTTAATTTATTAAAAAGGACGATGTAAACTGGGGTCCAATCGAGTAGCGTGCTTTTGCCGGCTTCTTGTGATTCGTACATATCGCGGTAGTCGAAAAAGGGAAGGTGGATAAAGAAGAAATCTGTAATGTCGGCTGTTTTTTGTCGCCCGGCATGTTTTTCCAGAATTGCCCGAATAGAAATCCATTTTCGAAGGAGCTTTAGCGCAGTTTAGTCGTTTAATATGTGAAATCTTTGTTCTTTTTTCTCATTCGAATGCGTTCGAATATTACACCCCCCCCCCCTCTAGATCTCATATCGCGGCATCAACGATGATCGAATGATGATCGTTACGTATTTAAGAGTAAAAGCTTATAAATGATAAAGGAACGGTAGAAAAAGAACTTTCCTTTCATACGCCTAGTTGATGCACATAATTCTAAGTACGTAGAATTTCATATGAATATATATATATATACATATATATATTCGGGACAAAAGATTATATATATATAAATATGAACATATAAAAATATGAGAAGATAATTGAATGTATAACAGAAATGATTAAAACAAAAAGCAGAAAAAAATAATGACATAGACTTTAATGTAAATGTACTGCCATAATCATATTATTATACGAGAGCCTATGCGAATAGATATATTATTATTATTCCTATAAAGACGAACAACCGGAGAAACAACAGCGACATGATGGCTAGCACAAAACAAAACTAGACAACAATCCAATTGTAAATAGAGCATATTTTCAATGTGTCTGGAAAAGTATGTTTTGTAATATAAGGATTGCAAAGGAAAAATAAAATTATTAAAGAATCATTTCTGCGTTACTGCATATTGTGGAAAAGTGAAGAACCTCTGTTATTATATAAAAGTAACGCTTCCTTTATGGGAGCAGAAAATATAATGTGTCCATTGTACCTTGCATGTACAGAATACCTAAAAATTTACGAGAAATCGAAAAAAGGTGATAAATGAAAAATTAGTAGAATTTTTTTATCAATATATCTTCAATGCTAACAGAGTACTCAGTGTGTAAATTAATTACTCCTTTAAAAAATGTATCGCAAAAAATTTCAATTTAAATTTGTTTTTCGTAAAATAACGAAAAACTCGAAGCCTGAAAATTAACAATTTTATAACATTTGTAAAATGCTCTGAAAGTTTTATTCGATTGGTCGATTTTGAATTCTAAATTTATATCTGTGAAGAACGCGGGCTGAAGTCAAATACATTCACGACTGTGCATATAGAGATAACAAATCGTCATCCTAACTAAATGAGACAATTTATTTAATAAATAATTACAAAATTGATTTCTGATGTTTATCATAAACTTAATTTGAAATTGCTACGATTGTAATACTAACCTAACCTAAATCTAGACTTACTCCTTTATGATTTTTTATCGCTCCAATTATCTGATTGGTGGAATTTTAGAACTGAATCCACGCTATTTGTAAAGGGAAAAGGATCCACATATTTCCACGCATGTGCTTTGCCAAAACAGTGTGTCCTCTTTGTAATGTCTGCATGCGTTAGAATAGGTTGAAGTACTAAAGCATGAATTATTAACAGAACCGTCTCGTTTCACTGAATTTTAGAAGAATTTTTACACCATTAATTTGATATATGACGTATATATATCCCCAAAAAGTATATTTTAGTAATTGTTTTTCCTAGCTCACTGTTCAAAGGATATCTTGCAAAATGAAACAAATTCTTTGTGGTAAAATAGGGTAAGAACATTAAACACAAAAAAAACTTCATTTCATAAACATTATACTTTCGTTATTTACATTCGTTATTTAAGCTCCAAGTATTATAACTTTTAGGTTATAGTTCAAGAACTAGTCAATTTTATAAATCTGTCAGAATTTCTTTTCATTTCTTAATCTTGTTGTTTAATGAGGCGTTTTCTCCTAATTCTTGGCTTAATATTTCTTTACTCCTGTATTGTCTGAGATACAGATAATGAAAATGTACTAGTTGTATGTTCTTAACTAGAACATTAAATGTTTCTTCTTGCAGAGATAGGATTGTGCTAATTTCAAAGACATCACGATATCCTTTACCTCTATTTAGTGCAAGACATTTAATATCTGGCAAGATGAACAAGGTTTATCAGCCATTACTAGCATCACCACATATACGCTACTTTGGAAACCCTAATCGGACATATGCAGTTTTTATTGGAAGAGTATTAAGAGGAGCATTAAAAGTTCGGTATCTTCTATTGGGTGGTGCAGTTGGTAGTGGAATGACTTTACAGAAGGTACTTAACAACATTAACATAAAAATACTTCAATAATTTCATGCATGATCTATATCCATAAAAATATTTTCTGTTAAAGAAATATGAACAATGGAAAGAAATTATACCAGATATGAGTTGGTTGAATGATGTATTTCCTAATGAAGAAAAGTGGAAAGATTTACGTGAATCAGTTATGACGGTTAAAAATATTTTCACAGATAAGATTGAAATTGGTAAGTATCAAATTGTAGAAAAATATTTAAATATATGAAAACGTGAGGCAAAAGAAATTAGAGGCATAAAAAATGGACAAACATAAACAGATCCACGTATAAAGCAGCTTGGCGAAGCTAAATATAAAGAGTACAAAGAGTGGTTCAATCAAAGACTGGATGATGCTATCAAGGCAGCTGAAGTTGATCAAATCCAACCAGGTGTGGATATTTCCTTTAATCGTGAGTTAAATGCAGGTCCTTGTTCGTCCTTGCAAAATGCCTAAATTTTTGAAGCCAGAAGCTTTTTCCCATCACCCATTAATTTTTTAATTTGCCTGACGTTTTCTTATTCTACTAATTTTCAGGGATAATTACCTATTTTAATATAATAGCTAATATTTGTTTTTCCACTGCTATTCTACTTCCCATTAATTTAAATGAAATTGCTTAAGTATCCCAGAAATATGAATGACAATTAAAAATACTCCAACTCGTTATTCAAAAGCATGCAAATAATATATAAAATCATATTTTATTTATGACTTTGTAAATGAATTAAATTTAATACAATTTATTTCCTCATATTTTCATTTTCCACCATTGCTTGTCAAAATCATGCCTATTATGTGTATATATCCAGTTAGAAATGTATCATTCTGGTCTGTTCTGTTCAGGTATATTTGACGCAATCTCAACAATAGTATCCCAACTTTATTCAGGTGTGTAAAATGTTCAGGATTATCAATATCTTATTGTCTGTCCATTCAGCATTTTTTTTCTTTTTTTTTATCAGTCATCTTCAGGCAATTCTAACATACAGTAGAACTTCATTCATTAAAAGATATGGGCAAATAACAATTTAGTGTTTTTTACATACTTACCTTAATTAACATTTGTTAAACTTTGAAACATACATAGAAGCCTAGAAGCAATATAATGCTTATATAAGTAACATAACATTTAATGCAATAGTAATACAAGTAATATAGTACTACAGTATTATATATTAGAATATGACTTCACAAACTTTTTTCTATATACATCTTATTTCATACATTTTATACACTTATTATATATCATACATTTATTCACTCCTTTGCTTAAACATCAAGATTTCTTTATTATCTTAAGATTTCTTTATTTTTATTTAAACCCTCGCAAATTTTAATATTATATTATAAAATTTCCTTTAAACAAATGAAGCTCTATTGTAACAATCCTGATGCATTAAGCTAAAATGTAGATCTTTCCTGAAATGAATAAAAATATAGTGGTAAATACTGAATGGGACAGACCTTTTTTTTTGTTTTCAATTTCTGTTTTTTGCTTGTGTTTTTGAATTAGATTGTTGAATTAGAATTAGAATTATTTTTCCATTAATAATTCATACATCAAACAGAAAATACTATTAATCAATGATTTATTGGTTTTATTTAATACATATTTCATATTTCATTTGGAATCACTTTGTCACAATTCTTAATTTTTAATAACTAATTTTTATACGAGTAAAGTGCTACTGTTGCTTTATCATAAACAGACTTAATCATCACTCAATACTTAAACATCAAATCAATACTTAAACATTTTTTTATACAGAAGCGAAGCAGCACGTGGTGAACAATACTGTCGCATTTGCTCGCCCATTAGCTAACGACAATATCGAAGAGGAACGTAAGAAAGCTCGTATGTACATGTTAGTGTATTAAAATTCATTTCTCCATCATTCTAGAAGCCTATAATTACATATTCGCCATTTCGTCCACAGAAAAGTCACAAGAGCGGTTGAACGCTATGCAAGAAGAAGTAATGCAAATACAATTAAGGTATCAACGTGAACTTGAACGATTAGAGAGAGAAAACAAAGAGCTTCGAAAGCAGATGCTACTACGTGGAAGTCAAAAAATGAGTAACAAAAAAATAAAAGTAATTATATTGCAGCTATAGAATTTTGATGTCTAAAATTGTATGTCAATGTTAAATAATTTCTTCCAGAAATCTTTGATCGACATGTACAGCGACGTTTTAGATGAACTTAATGATTATGATAGCACTTATTCTACTGCTGATCATTTACCAAGAGTGGTAGTAGTTGGTGATCAAAGTTCTGGCAAAACATCTGTATTAGAAATGATCGCTCAAGCAAGAATATTTCCTAGGTAATAAAAGTTATATAAAAAAATTTAAATTATTCACTAAAACTTATCCCTTTTCTTAACTCTGCAATTTTTATTTTTTGATTTAGAGGTGGTGGCGAAATGATGACAAGAGCTCCAGTGAAAGTTACTTTAAGTGAAGGTCCTTATCATATAGCTCAATTCAAAGATAGTTCAAGAGAATTCGATTTGACGAAAGAGTCAGAATTAGCTGAGCTAAGACGCGAAGTAGAATTACGTATGAAAAACAGTGTTAAAAATGGCAAGACAGTTAGTCCAGATGTGATTTCGATGACTGTGAAAGGTCCAGGCCTTCAGCGTATGGTTCTCGTCGATTTGCCTGGTATAATCAGCGTAAGTGATAATTTGTATCAAAGATAATTGCCACACTATTCTCTAAGAAGCGTAAAATTTGTGAAATTGTTGCAACAGACAGTTACAATTGACATGGCGGAAGACACGCGAGATGCTATTCGACAAATGACTCAACAATATATGAGTAACCCTAATGCGATCATTCTATGTATCCAAGATGGTTCCGTGGATGCAGAAAGGAGCAATGTGACGGATCTCGTTTCTCAAATGGACCCTTCCGGCAAACGAACCATTTTTGTTTTAACTAAGGTATAATATTGCTTACGAGACTTATAAGTCAGTATAATTATTAATATTTTGGCATCGGTAGGTAGATTTAGCAGAAGAGAACTTGGCCAATCCAGAACGTGTTCGTAAAATATTGTCTGGCAAACTATTCCCCATGAAAGCATTGGGCTACTTTGCTGTTGTCACTGGTAGAGGTAGACAGGATGATAGCATACAAACGATCAAAGATTATGAAGAAAAATTCTTTAGAAATTCGAAGCTCTTTAAGTACGTATTATATTGGATTTATTGACGAATAATTATGATAATATTACTACACTAGGCAATAATTATTTCTATGGTCTATTGTATCAAATGCTGTATTACTGCATTATATTGCAACAACAGAAATTGATTAGTTGAAGTTACTTCGTGAGTAACTTTCAAGGCTATATATACATATATATATTTTTCATGGTTTTTACTAGGGATGGCTTAGTAATGTCAGGTCAAGTTACAACAAGAAATTTGAGTCTCGCGGTTGCAGAATGTTTTTGGAAGATGGTTCGTGAGACTGTAGAACAACAAGCAGATGCATTTAAGGCCACTAGATTTAATCTTGAAACAGAATGGAAAAATAATTTCCCAAGGTATAAACTTTCATATTTTATCGAGTTTACCATTTATAAAAAAATTAAATTACTTAGCATTGAAAGAAATGATATATTTTTATAGATTAAGGGAATTAGATAGAGATGAACTTTTCGAGAGAGCAAGAGGGGAGATTCTGGACGAAATTATAAATCTGTCTCAAGTTTCACCTAGACACTGGGAAGAGGTGTTAATGGTTAGAATCTGGGACAAAGTTAGCATGCACGTGTTCGAGAACATTTATTTACCCGCGGCTCAAAGCGGAAGTCCAAGTATATTTCACAACACCATTATGGAATTCTCTTTCATGAGCAATTAATCTAATCTTTTTTCTTTTTTTCCGAATACAGGCACATTTAATACCACTGTCGACATAAAACTTCGTCAGTGGGCTGAACAGCAATTACCATCTCGAAGCGTCGAAAGCGGTTGGGAATGCTTGCAACAGGAATTTCAACATTTCATGAATCAGGCAAAACTTAGTCCAGATCACGATGATATATTTGACAATCTAAAAAATGCAGTAGTTAACGAAGCTATGAGGCGACATTACTGGGAAGAAAAAGTAAATTTTTTAACTTTTATTTTTTAATCCTTTTTATTTGAAATGATACGTAATGAAAAATTCTCTTTAGGCATCTGAAATGCTGCGAGTTATTCAACTGAACACTTTGGAGGATAGAAGTGTGAATGATAAACGTGATTGGGATCAGGCAGTTCGTTTTCTAGAAACCTCAGTTAAAGAGAAATTGCAAGCTACGGAACAAATTTTAAGAGACATGCTGGGTCCAGGTCGCAAGGAACGATGGCTGTATTGGCAGAGTCAGAGTGATGACCAACAGAAACGTTCAGCTGTGAAGAACGAATTAGATAAAATTCTTTATGCGGACAAAGTAAGAAGACATAATCACTTTATAATCTAAATAATAATAATCTAAAAGAATTATTTTTATCTTCTTTTTGTTCACAGAAACATACTCCTACACTTACTCAGGATGAACTTACGACAATTAGGAAGAACGTGCAGCGAAATGGTTTGGAAATCGACAATGAATTCATTCGAGAAACGTGGCATCCAGTATATAGGAGATTTTTCTTGCAACAAAGCTTGGCTAGGGCGTATGATTGCAAGAAAGGATATTATCTCTATCACACTGGACATGAAAATGAAGTAAGTGCATATAGTAATAAAAAAATTGCTTAGTATTTTTGATATTTTATCTTTCATTGGAAATTTCAATCTTTAATATTTCTCATAGATGGAGTGCAATGATGTTGTTTTGTTTTGGAGGATTCAGCAAATGCTGAAGGTTACTGCCAATGCACTTCGACAACAAATTATGAATCGAGAAGCTCGTAGGTTAGATAAAGAAATAAAAGAAGTATTAGAAGATTACAGTCAAGATAATGAAATGAAACAGAAACTGCTGACTGGTAGACGGGTCACTTTAGCCGAAGAATTAAGTATGTTCTTTTATTATCATGCATCTTAATCAAATTTAAGTAAATTTCTTTGATTAAGTACAAAATTTATTCATTATGTTTCTATTAAAAAAATATGTCGTGATATACATTTCAATAGATAATTTCAGAAAATAGTCTACCTTAAACATATACATCAATTTGACTATGATTTCTATGTTTTTGTACTTTTATCTCGTTTCAGAACGTGTTAGGCAAATTCAAGAGAAACTCGAGGAATTTATTCAAGCATTAAACAAAGAGAAATGAATAACATAGACTGAGAGTTTAGAAGCCTGAAACCTATGGTATGTGATAAGTGATGATAAGCCCTGGTGGCTTGTTGTTAGGTATATACTAATTTATTTTCTTCGCTAATCGAACAATAATACAGATATATTATTAATCAAGTCTTATGATGAGTGGAAACTATTCATTTAACTAGTAAGATTTGATATGTAAAATTATCCTTCAGACTTTAGCATTAAAATTATGGCCGATTTTACGCGACTATGGTATTTTTACATTTTTATTTTATATTTAACAAATTTTGTTAACAGATTTAATATTGTTCGGACACAAATGCGAAATATTGTCAATAGTTAGTATTGATTAATACCAAAGCGAACAACTCGAGAAAAATTTCGGAAATAACGCTTCAGAATAATTGAATACATGAAATGTAGATATTCTTAATGTAACTAGAAAAAATAATTCTCATAACATTTTGTATATACGTCTCATCTGTGCATACAGAACGAATAGAAAGGAATATACGTTTTGTATGGGTAGGAAAAGCGGAATAAAGAAATAGAAACTGAATTCTTCATGTCTATAAACATTTCTTTTCAATCATAAAAGTGCATGTGTAAGTGACAATATATTATAATTTTTTAATTTTTTTAAGATATATTTCGCTTAAACTAAAATAAGAAATAAACAATAAAAGTTGAGAAAATTTAATAGTAAAAAACATAAAAGACATTTTTTATCGTACTTATCGAATTTTTTTACGATAGTAACCATTTTCAGTATGTTTTTTTTGTTCCATAAGATATACTATTGAACACTCAATAGGATTGTTAAGTACTTGTGGAATTGAAATGTGCCTTCATACAAAGTACAAAGTAGCTTGAAGAATTATTAAAATACACGTTTTATGCCTAGTTTCTTCTCGTGGTAAAAGAGTACAACGTATCTCGTCGAAATTTATTTCTATTCTTCGTTAATTGATAATAATAGAGATTAACGGTGGTTCCAGATATATCACAAAGTTACAAGTAACATGGTAGAAACATATTAAAAATATTATTTTCTTTCAAGATCTTTAATTGACGATGTAAATTGCTAGGTCAACCGGAAAACTACTTTGCTTCTAAATTCTTTTTTTTTTTAATTCTGGACAATATTAACTTCGAGATAAAATATACCCTATTATTTGGTCCGAACGTCTGATAAAATATTCAAGTTCGTTTCAAGTTTTTTATGCAAATATTCTTACGAGAATCCATAGTACGTCTTATGAGCATTTATAAAACTCTTTTAAGGCTAGGAAAATTGTTTGCTTGTTTGAAATTAAAATATTCATCAATCGTCTCTTCTATGACAATTAACACCACTTACGCAAGAGAAATATATTGATATGACTATGCAAACGCATTAACGGCACGGTTTTAGTGAATATCGCCATTATAATATTTATCTCTTTTTCTCTGGCGACCATCGATGCATTAATATATCATATGTACTTGAGTATTTTGCTTTATCATTATGTAAATCATGTGAGCTTCTATTTTGTATTTTCTAACCGACGTAGTCAATACAAAATTAAACAATCATGTACATTTGGCAGGAATGTTTCTCTCCTCGTTATTTACGGTACACTCGGCATTCAGAGTTGGGCAGAATTCTATATACTCAATAAGCAGACGAGCAATTGTTTAATAAATACAAGACGAACAACATTTAGACTTTAGGATTAGGAAATTTAGACTTTTCGCCATGATAAGTCTTCTCCGAATAATGCCTAACTCCGTGGTACATTTATTGGGGTTGATAAACCAGCAATAAACAGTGTAACACGTTTATAAATAGGACTGTACCGATATATTGTTCTAAGTATAAACATTATTGTATGTATGTATGTACGTATGTATATATATATGTATATATATATGTACAATTATTTGGTAATACATCATTGGTAACACGAGGCATCGCGCAATTGGCCGCAAATCAAGGGGGAAAAAAGCGTTTTCTTAAAATGGACGAGGTAAAACGACATTTCTGTCTCGTGTTGCAAACATGGCCACGTGTATCAAATCCCTTATTGTAATATGGTATTCTCATGTCGTGTTGTCTCTCCCGGGAATAATGAGTGTGTCGTTCAACGATTCAGGATGAGAAATTTGTACAGTACACGGGGGAGAACACACGTTTTGTAAAACTAGATATTTTTTCAAACTTTTCTCGCTCTGCTTAAAGGTTATACTAGCGATATGGAGCAATCTTAATTAAAGTGTGCTATATTCCAGACGAAGTGTACCCCTTGATTAAACGTTCCTCTCTCTGTGATAAGAGAACGAACATTACATGATTACGTCTTCACCGCGTTACTAGTATCCTGCACGTCTGGAATTAGTTCAACGGGACCATCCACACCATTCTGTTCCATCTCTGCTGTATTATAACTAGAAAAGGAACATGCTGGCGCACTTCTGGCTGTAGTCACTGTAACTTCTGGAAGAAGGGACGTGCGTTCTGTCGCGCTCCCCCAGGCCTGTTGATAAGCGCTTCGACCACGTATCCTGCGGCTTAATGAAGATCCTACTACCCCAAGATGTTCTTTGATGTCGTTGTGGACATCTGAGACATCCCACATTGCTCTAGAAACATTAAGTATATTTTTAACCCTTTACAATGACTATTTGAAAAGTACATATGGCACTATAACTTTTATAGGCTATTTTATAGGGTCTAGGACTCTTTCTTGCGTATGAGGTATTGAGGAACTGGGTTAATCCATCATCTACTGCTATGTACTATAAATGAATGCTTAGTGCTATGAGAGTCATCTATAGTGTATTGCATAAATGTTCAATGACTATGATGACGACTATGGACATCCACAATAATCTAAGATGTTTTTCAACCAAAATTTAATTACCTGAATGCATCCCACCATGCTTGACCCTGTGCTAGATTTACAAAAGGTTTGTATGTAAAACTGTAGTGGTGAGCCACTGCAGCCATAAACATTTCAATACAGATTAAAAAGTCCTGCAGCTTAGATGATATATTTCTGATATATTCCATGTTATTCGTTTTAAAAATACTCGATATCACATCAAAATACACTAGCAATGCAACTATCACGCCTTGACTGCAAAATAAAGAAAAAAGTGAGATTTCGTGATACAACATTTAAATATATTCAAATGAAAATACGATTTTACAATGTGTGCAAACTTACAAGAAGGAGAAGAATACGACCGCTTTGATACACAAAAATTTCCCGATTGGTTTCATTGGTTTCAAAGCCTCCGCATTGGCGCGATAAAAAAGCACCAAACAATACATGGCAACAAATTGTGATAAATTATTTAAAGCAATCATATATGGAAAAGCTACGTCTGTTCTGAATTCACCTTCTCCATACACTCCATTTAGTTCACAGATACTAAACAAATAAATATAAATAAATAATTGATTATGAACAATCATGTGACAGAATAATATGTGTATAATTCAATATGTAATCTACATATATTTGAAATTCATGCTATCAATAGTGCTTGATATTTTAAGTTGAATATGAGAAATTACTAGAGTGTATCAGTGAACTTTTTTTATAGAAATATTTCTTTTTTACTTTCTATGATGTAAATACGAATATTCATTATATACGTACAAAGATATCAAAGTTGTTATAGGCCTAACTGCAGTATATTGTAATATTCCATGTTTGCACATATGTACAAATTCTCTGCCCATTTCCCAATCAGGTAAACAACACAGGGGGAACATGTGATGTACTTGAGGGGAAATTTCAAGTCTGTGTTCCAGCTGACGATCAGCATCCAAATAGGCCAATAAATACATCATAAAATTGTATATTACATATGCCTCATAACACTCCCGCAAACTGTCAACGTATATGCTGCCTTCTGGATAAACCAGACCAAGCCACTACAGGAATTCAAAAAGAATTTGTACTTAAAATAGAGAAGTATGTTGATATATGTATTTTATGTAAAAGATAGAAATTTATACCTACAGCATTCACTGCATAAATTGGTACCATCCATAATATCCTGAAACAGAATATAAAATTTCATATTATTTTGTAATAATATACAAATATACAAACAAAAGCATAAAAAATTTTTTAATTTCCAAAAAACTAGCTCTAATTAAGTCATAAAAAATTTCAATTGTTAGTGCTGTATTAAATATTTAACATTAATAGATTTCTATTACAAAGGTTTTTGACCAAGAGAATATTATGATGGAAGTATCTCCCTGTGATTACAATAAACTTCTCAAGCTTGACAAGAAAGTGAACTTTGATTTCCTACAATCATATCATTTTCTTCCAAATGGATTCAACTGTTTATGTATCATAACAGTGTATATATAGCCATAATCTTTCTTGTGACAGGAATTTTATTTACACATTAAACAAACAAAATTAAATAAAATTTGATATTTGCAATATTTTTAAATATATATGTTATTTTAATAGTATGAACGTGATAATATCCAATAACCATTTTAATAATATTTTTAAAATTAAGAATTTGCAGGTTTTATAAAAAGTGAGTTTATTTATTCAAAGCCTCTACCTATATCAATGACTCTCGACATTTACTATATTAAATGTCAATCAATACGAGTTCTTTGACTTGAAAGATGGAAAAAAGACATTTTCTTTAAATAAATTATTACTATTAATAATTGTTGCCAATTATGATATTCATGTAATGAATATAAAAAATTTAATAAGATATACAAATATAATATTAAAAAAAAATTGTCCCTTTTCTAATCCTGAATGTTAACTTTTTACTTGATATTCAGGAAATAGGAAAAATACTATATATATACATACAATTATGTATTACATAATCCAGCAATGATATATTTTTTGATTGAAAGCAGATTAAGTAATTGTCAATCAATACATCCCTATACAATAAAAAAGTGTATCGTTAAAAAAGTTACTTCCCACAATTTACCAATTAATCTAAAATATCTGACTAATAGAAAGTTATGATGTAATAAAATTTCATAAGAAGCTATAAATTCCTAACTAATTTTACAAGCAATAAATAATCAACTCAAAAGTCCAACCACATTGAAAGGAAGACATTTAAGCAACAAATCAATATACAATTTCTAAATATCAGCAAACAACCTCAAGACAACATCAATCGTAGAATTCATCAACATACCTTATAATGTATTTCTGCAGCCTAGGTTGTGTATAATATATCATGTGTTGGACAATTTCGTAGAAAGCAATAGGCAAGGCAAGTAGCACAAAGGCACCACCCACCAGTGCTCCTTGATCCTGATTTTCGAAGCCATTCTTAATTGAATTGACCAAGAGAATTGGAACCAAAATAATGATCAGAAGTGCATAGAGACAAGTTAAAACTGGTAAAATCCATAGTCTCCAGCGACGACAAATAGAAGCCATCACTTTTCAGAAATTTCACGGGTATATCACATATTTTTTCCAATCAGTTTACCTGGCAATCTCTGCAAAAACCACAAACAACAATCATTACAATTTCACTATTCTATTATTAGTTCGTATCACGTGGATCAGGTTATGGTAAACTAATGATCTTCGACACGGCGGACAAATTAACGTACTTAAGCTCCCCGATATCCGACGTTTCCATCGAAAATACAGAGGAAATCGAGGATTTTTGCGGCCTACACGATTATTGTCTCGACCTATAATTGTGTAAACATGGTAAATAGCGTAGTTGTTAATAAAGTCATAACAACCTTGTCAGACTCGATGAATCAACGATGAACCGACGAGTCAGCTGATGGTAACAGTGCGAGAGAGGGAAACCGCCTCCGAGCTCCCTCGCTGTGTGTTACGCGATGTAGAAACCGTGTGAAAATAAATTTCAGTTCGTTTACATCGATTTGAGCCTGTCAGGTGCACTAATTCTCGATCAACGAAATTGTTAAAAGATTTGCGCCTCGTAAATTTGGCCTGGATGGCCGCCATGAGAACGAAGGTTCCTCCGAGGGACCCACGAGACCTTCACCATTTCAACAATTTGAGCAATCGTAGTTCAATTAAGAATGTCCTTAAACGAGGTTACATTTATAGCGACACACTTTTACTTTCGACTGTGATGGAAAAGTTGTGAACGTTATTTCGACATTTTTTTGTTTTGCTTACTTAACAGCATTGAACCAGGTTGAACCAGGTTGAATCCTGTCCCCGGAAGTGGAGAATTTATAACCCGGCAGGTGAAATTTAGGTTTCGGAGTAATTCAATCGAATTCATGTTAGTTATAAGGTTAGGCAAAGTCCATCTGGAAAATTCATTTTATAGTTGTAGTATAGAAGAGAAGAAAGGCAAAATCAATAGCGATGAAGATGAGAATGAAGATCATAAATGGATGAAGATGGATTGTAATGATGATTCAGCCTAGTATTTTTTCATCGGTTAAGTTGGTATTGGCAGAGATTCGCGTAGGCAGCGTAGGAAGGGTGCATCCGTTCTAATGGCGTCAAGACCCAAGCACTGTTGTCACATTTTGTCCTACAGTGTTTCAATATTTTGCTTTGTTTATGTCGTTCAAGTTTTTCTCGAAGGAGACGAAAAATCGACGTGGGCTTGCGAAGGTTGGTACAGGAAGGTGAGAGGAGGCCGATTTTCCCGCTGGGACGCAAATCAAGCCCCGAGAGAAATTTTCTAAGAGCTCCGGGTGCAGTGACCTTGATTCCGCTGTCATTTCTGTAATACACTAGCGCGCGAAATTTGAATCGTTGATTCACTTTCTATAAATAAGAACGATGAATCTGTTACAATCTGCTTAAAATTAATAATACCAATTTATATTTATATAAATTTATATACTAATTTATATACTTATTATGAAAAAATATATTTTTTTGTGACAGAGAATTCTTATATTTTTTTTATACTTTTGTAAATGTATTATTATAGATAAATGGAAATAAACATGATAAAACTTATTTATGCTGTATATGTTATTGAAATTAATACTTTTGTTAAAGAAAAGAAAATTTTTAATGACATTTTCCAAGGAATAAGGTAAACCAAAATATATTAGTAAGAATATTATTTCAAATCCAAATATATTTGTTAGAAACTGTTAGAATAAAAATAATTCACACGTATCTTTCTTTCTAGCCACAAACAGCTAGTTTTTACAGATGGCAAGGAAATAATCTTAGAAGAAATTTTCTCCCATCAGCAGCTGAGTCAAATGAATATGGAAGTAACAACAGAAGAAGCACAAGCAGTGCTGCTGGAGGGAATGGAAGGTGCACAATACATTACCATCCAAAGGGCCGATGGAGAGCCTTTGAGCAAAAGTGTTCCTCTTCTAACTCTTAATGGAGAACTAATTTCTGAAGGAATGGTTGTCGATATGATCAATGCTGGTGTTGGGACAGATTATGGTACGGCAACTCAATATTATGAAACAGAAGATTTATTACAACATGATTTAACAGAGGTATAAGAATAATTTATTGTTTTTTCATATTCACACATTAGAAACTGATTTTGGATTTTTTAAACAGGAAGACAGAAGACTGGCAGCAGCTTTGGTTGCTGTTCAATTGCAACAACAACAAAAACAGCAACATCTTCATAGTCAATCCCAACATGAAGATCCAACTTTACCAGATGTTTCTCATCTAGAGACTCTAACTCCTGTGAATACTTATTCTATCCAAACTGTCCCAGAACCAAACCCGGTATATCCAACGTTACAACCTTTCAAACGCATCACACAGAATGTAAAACAAGAGTTCATAAACGTAAAAAGCGAGTATGACGTTGATGTATCAGCTGAAAGCAGTGAAGATGCAGCGCCAAGTTCAGGACCGAAAAGATCCTTGCCTCATAAAAAAAGGATACCTCGTAAATTGAAACAACAGACCAAAAGAAACTCGGCAAGGAAGGATGGCAGTAGGATAAATACGGATGTCATAAACGCTGATCCTTCCAGCGATATACAGACTCATATATTCAAGTGTGAACTGTGCAGTTCTAGGTTTAGTAGCCAATTAAAATTTTTCGAACATTTGAAGGTACATTATGAGCCTGTCAAACAGGAAACCAGAATAGCACAAGCAACCAATACAAATATTACGATATCTGTACCAGAGTCTGTTCAAAATCTGGAAAATACAGTTATTGAAGAATTCAGTGAACCTGAGGATCTTATGGAGGGCATCAGGGGTGTTGGTAAGTATAAGAACTATTACATCAAAATAAAAAAAATCACCAAGAATTGATCTTTCATGTTTGTCTTTTGTATTTTTCATTTGTGATAGTTTCAAGAATTATTTTTGTATAATTAATATTTAACAGTTTAGATGAATCTAACCAATATTGGTTTGTATATTTGCAGTAGAGGAGACAGGTGCACATATAGATGATGAAACAGAATCTCCATTGTCCTCGGTGAACAACGAATCACCATTGTGGACGATTACTGATGTCACGGATCACGTACATAGGGACCATGTAAAACCATCAACAGTCAATGAACAGAGTATACATGATAAAGATAAGACTGACATTCCACAAACAACGAAGAAAAAGAAGATATTGAAAGCTAGGAAGTCAAGTAAGTATATATACATTCAAGGGCTTCTTCTTTTAATTGCATACTTATAAGATCTTTTTATTTTGGAAGATGACGAATTAACGTGTCCCCAATGCGACCGGTCATTCCATCATAAAAATAGTTTAGTATACCACATGCGATCTCATAGTGGTGAACGACCTCACCAGTGTGAAGTTTGTGGAAAGAGTTTCTTTGCTGCTAGTGCGTTAAAGGTGAGACAATTTCAATTTCATGGACTAATATGGTATTGTAGGTTAAACCTTTTTAAGCCAATTTAGTAAATAAAAATTATTTATTAAACAATATTGTAAAGAACATTTTAATTGTGCCAGATAGAGTAGAAAAGTTCTACAAAGAAACCAAGAAATTAAGCAAAATTAGTTCTATACAGCTTTATAGTGAATTCTATAATAAGTTCTATTGAGAAAAGGAAGAAATGTCAAAATAAAATTATGGAATCTTCGGAATCAAAATAAGTTTTTAAACAAATTTTTTCAAATCTAGGTCCACAAGCGCCTTCACAGTGGCGACAAGCCCTACAAGTGCGAAGAATGTGGTCGCCACTTTCGTCAATGGGGAGATCTGAAGTACCACGCGACTAGTATTCACTCGGAGCAAAAGCAATATCAGTGCGAGTACTGTGGCAAGGATTTCGCGCGGAAATACTCTTTGATTGTTCACAGAAGGATCCACACCGGTGAAAAAAATTACCGCTGCGAGTACTGCAACAAAACGTTCAGAGCAAGCAGTTATTTGCAAAATCATCGTCGTATACACACTGGTGAAAAGCCCCACCAATGTGCTGTGTGTGGAAAGCCATTTAGAGTGCGAAGCGATATGAAGAGGCACATGCATACGCACTCAAGAGGAAGAGCTGATAGACCCATGAACAGAGTCATGGCCGCGAAGAACGTAGCAGAAGATCACGACAAAGGTTCGCAAGCAAAGACCATACAAGATCTCGTTCGTGACTTAAAACTCGAAGTGGAAGCCACAGGAGTTGTGGAGATCGTTCCTCCTGATGATAATCCTGAAAGTATTCTACCACATGCTGGTGGACAAACTTTAGAATACACAGTCACAACGGCACCAGACACGAACCCTGACAGAGATCCTTTGGAGGCAGTTGTTCGTACTGATAACATGTGAGTTTATCTACTGTTAAGATTACAAAGTAGAAAATGATACAATCCAAAGATAAAATTAAAAATTAAAAATTTGATTAAATTGAAAGAAATGTGGGATTTGAGACATTTTTGAAGATCTCTAGGAATGTGGTTATCCTCAGTGTGCCTACATCAATCGATATCCCAAAGCTTTAATTTACAACCATGCTTATTTCATTACCACCAGTATAATAATACTTTGATTTATTTTATTTTATATTATAAAACATATTGCTGAGACTTATTCTTTTATTATTGTTCTTGCAGGCAGTATTTCTTCATGTAATGACTATTGGATTGTTCCTTGTGACATTGAGAATGAAAGATCTCTCGCACAAAATTGGCGCTTTGTGAGATCGGAGACACGTCAGATGTTGAACACGTCAGACTGATTGAATCGAAGTACTATACATCAACGCACTGCCTATCGTTGATGTGCATAAACGTACTTTCCAATTTCTTTGCGAGTTACTTTTTAAAAGAATATTATGAATGTAATGTTTAAGAAAAAAATATTATTCTTAAGACTGTTTTTAGCAGAAGAACTTGGGAAGTACAAGCATATATATGTATAGAAGAAAGCTCCTATATTATAACAAAATTATATCAATTTAATTAGTCGGAAATGTATATAAATACATGAATGCATATACACATATACGTATATAGATAACTTACACGTATATATTGTACTATAATTAACGATAATTAAGGTAACTAATGTAAGTGTACATTTCTTAAGTCCTAGGTAAGTTAATCGTTTATATTCGCGAATCGTCGTTGACAAAAAAAATATATTTTTTACGTGAAAACATTTATAGAAACACTGTGGTCCACTTTTATTGCATTTTCCACGAAGTGAGAAAAAGAAGCGGTGTTAGCTCAATCTTTATACAAGGATGGTGGAGGTACCGTGTTACTCGTGTCGATAAAAGCTTGTAAAACTTGAGCTAATTCTCTGGACTTAAGAGCTGCGCTGAGCTTCTCCGCAACGTCTTTGTTACCGATTCTGAAATCACATAAGATGTACATAGAAGGTGGAGCAATTAATTTAACAACCTTTTATTTTTTAACATTTCTCCCAATAAAATTTCATTTCTTATATCACCCGACGTGTATGGGTCCTCCAACTTCGTTATCGACAGAGTAACCAAAGACAGTTATAGAATTTTGTGTTAATTCATATAAATTTTGCCATTGTTATATTACAAATTGTATTCTTATAAAGACTTCCCAATAATTTATAAAACACGGCATAAAAAGAAAAAAGAAATAAATGATTAATATTTAATATTAAATCTATTAAGTAAAAAAGTGTTTTGTTAAAATTTTTGTCTTATTGAATAAAAATACTTGGAATAATAAGTGTTGAGGAGATTAGGAATATTATATTCTTTGAAAGAAGATGGTACAAAATTTTATCGATTTAGATTATTTGTTAATACATACCTACGAGAACGTTTCGCTCTTTCCCAATCAACATAGAGATCTGTAATTACTGCGTGTAGCCTCTCCAATATTTCATTGTCCTTTGCCATTTGGGATTTGATCTCTGATTCCTTCTGTATCAATCCCTGATACTCTGAGCACAGATTTTCTTTAGGATTTTCCTTCAACTCCCATTCCTCCAGAGCATTCAAAATCTTTACTTTTGTAATTAGGTCATGAGCAGCATTTAATTGTGGAAAAATTAATTCCAATACTCTGGATATACTACCATCAGAAACATCTATGTAGAAATACGAAATAAGAGAAGAAATCTTAAAAAGGAAATACTAATTCATATTGTGATGGATATATAACATACCACAGAAAACGTCTAATTTGATTTTTCTTTTTGTTGCCTCCCTGGTTAATATGTCTCTGAGAATTATGATGCTTGATATATTCTCTCCTAGGAAAATTGCACTTCCTTTTCTGACAATTAAGAAATCATTAAATCGGATTCAATATTTATATTATTAATGTGATATAGAAATTACTTGTATTTGCATTTTAGGAGGGTTCCAATGAAAGATGAGACATATGTCAAAGTAGCTTCTCCTTCCTCCAAATGAGGTCTCTCCGGCACATCTGATAACGCGAAAGAAAGCCATGCATGCATCTGAAATATGTAGAATTAGAAAAAGAAATATTAAAATAATAGATTTGTTATCATTAAGTACAGAATATTATGGTAATTAAAACTTTCGAGCGCCTGTAGACTAGCAAGCCATTGACTTCTCATGAATAGTCGTACGATAGGTTGCTCGGCAACAGGCGTAGAAACCAGTAACTATAGTTCTGAATTATTAACCATTTAACCTACAACTACGGGTATAGCCTGTAGTACGATGATTGGGCAAAATATAATATATAATATAATGTATAATAATAGCTTGTTTACGTTTTCGGTTCAAAATTCTCGAACGTAAATCGTAGGTTAAGGGGTTAATATTTATTTTATCATTGCAAAATTTGAAATTTTACTTCTGCAACAGTAAAACCTCCAATTAATTTCAGTTCATTAAAGGGTCCTTCAACGTGAGTTTCCGAGTTATCGGCTTCGTGCTGTCTTACATGAAGAGAAAGAGCAGATATGGGTATTGATATTTTGCGACAACATTTTGGTTGTACCTGAATAAAAAAAGGATTATATATTTAGATTTTTATATTATATTAGTATAGTTATATATGCTGTTGCAGAAATTGTGGAATAGCCAGAAATGAGGTGATTAAAAATTTTGTATTGTATTAATACTTGTGAAGTGACGTAAATCTGTAAAGTACCAGGCTGTCCTTCTATTGTCCTTAGCCTCATTTCAAGATGATTAGTATTTACCTACAAAGATTATTACTAAAATATCAAATATGAAATATTAAATTATTTAGTCGAATTTCTAATAATGATTAAATTATTTATATTTACTTGACAACGATAGGTAGCAAGAACAAAATTGCCTTCTCTAGGATTACAAGTAGACAGACTAACTACTGCACTATTACTTTCCACATCCAATAATTCAATTGGAGTATCTGATTGTATCAAAATGTTATCAATAGGTGTATCAAGTTCTATGGAAAGAGAATATGATGCATCTTCTCTGTTTAAAATCATTCTACAAGAAATAAGTTTCATTTTATAATTTGATTTTTTAAATTATTATATTGTATTTTATTTAATGATAGGTGAAGAATAGTTCTTCTAATTCTATACCTATGATTTACAGATAGAATCAATGGTGCTAAAGGATCAACTGAAAAACTAGCTGCTTCTTTTTCTTCCTTAAGTTTTTCCTGTAATTGTTCTATCTCTGCCTTTAACTTGGTCAAACCATCATTCTGGTCAGCTTCTAGTAGTCCAGGAGGCTTAGTAGTCAAGCCAAATATTCGTCCTGAATATGTGGTGACTAACACTTCAGGATACCCTGCTGCACCAATTATACCTCCTACCACTGAACTGATGCTTTCCTTGGCATTCTATGAAATTAATTTTTAAGAATGTTTGTTCTTTGAATTTTTACATAGCTATACCAATAAATTATTAGGGAATTTAAAAAATTAAACCACTGAATAAATTAAAAAAGGAAATTAAGGAAATTAAAAATACTGAAACAGTTAAGAATTAAAGTTTAAATATGTTATACCTACATAACGATACCGCAGAAAAGGCAACATATCTTCTTCAGGAAAAGTATATACTTCAACGGTACCGTCCTGTCTGCCAATAAGTATATCTAGACCATCCTGTAGTTCATAAGTATCTAAAGAAGTGACTTCTGAGCCTGTCATATTCAAAAGCCAAGTGATCCTCAGTGTTTTGTTACCGTGAAGGATCAGCAAACCCACTTTGCCATCTATAGTTCCAACCAGAACACGTTCTTTAGATTCAAGATCACCTTCCCTATAAAAAATACTTGAAAGACACTTGTGAAATATAAACAAAGTAATATAAAAATAGTTTAGAAAACTTAGAAACCTATAGAGAGATAATACTGTGGGCACACTTGGAAGTCTGAGGATTGCTGGGGTTTTGGTACCATGAAGGACTCGTATCTGAAAAGAACCAAATTTATTGTCAATCTAAAGTTGTCAAATTAAAGTTATTAGGCTGTACAATAGTATTTAGTCTAATGCTTATTGGGGCAAAAGGGAATTGGATTCCGTTATTCATAAGTAGACTGTGGATGTTTATGCCTTTATGGGAAATTTGAAGATGCAAATATGCATAAAGTTTCCATTACTTCAATTGTATTCATAAAAATATGAAATTGCATAAACATTTACAGTCTTACAATGTTAGCATATGTACTGCCTATAGTGTAGTTAACTTTTATTATTTATTATCTTGTTGATTAAGATTTTTACAGCACAATCTCCACAAGCTAGTATAGCAAACATGAAATTGCCATCAGTAGGTAGGAGGACAATGTCATATAAAGTTTCACCAGCTAAATAGGAATCAGCATCTTTGCAATCATGGTATCTATGGTAAAGATCTCTTGCACATGCTGCCAAATTTGGACCCAGCACATATCTGTGGAAAAATCTCCATTAATCTGGTTGGAATTGATAAATATTTATTTAAAATTAATTTTTATTTTGAATTTTCATTTTTTTCTATCTAATCTACTCACAGTGCTGAAATAGGATCTATAAGGTTTGTATCAAATTCCAAGAACAATTTTCCTTTCTTGGTGTACCCCTTCACTGTGTTTCCTTGTGCAATGTAAATCTTATCATGTCCAGTACCCCCAAGAACTAATTTGTTAATCCTTGGTCCTGGTAAGGACTTAAATGAAACTTGTAGCTCTCCTTTCTTTATACCTTATTAAAATATCAAGTGTCTTTACATATTTATTTAAAGAAATGAAGAAATAATAAATCTTCCTGCAAATTTTATTTGAAAGATTTAGTTTAAATTCTAAAAGGTAAAGAATAAAATTCACCATAGACATGAAGTACGCCATCATGGTCAGCAACAGCAAATTTTTGAGTTTGCCTGTGTTCTGTGGCAGGGAAGACCTTGGTGGTTCCCCTAGATGTGACACCTACAGCTGTATAGTCTGTCCTTGACAGTGGCAGAGTCATTCTGGACCAAAATGTAATTTTCTGTTATATCTCGTAAAATACTAATATGAAACAGAAATTTTTCAAAATCTACTTTTACACAGTTTTATTTATTATTCCATTCAGTACACTGAATAATATCTAGATGCTTGAACAAATTTTAATATTTTCAGATCAGAAAGATTTTAATATTTCAATCCAAATAAGCAAATTTTCTAAGGTTTTGATGAAAATTCTTAGTTTTGTAATTAGGAAGGCTGTTACAACTTTGCTTGTAATATCGTAGAGTGTAATAAACGTACGCACGCGCGTCGATCAATTTAACCATGGTAACAAACTAACACAACAAATCATTCTTTACGCTCTTCTCTTTGAATACTTATAATATTATAAAAAATAAAAAATTGCATACAGAAAGAGATCAGTGTATCAAATAAAGATACACTAAATGTAATAGTAGGAGGTAATGTAATAGTAAATTTGAGAAAGACGAGGAGAAATGCACACATGCATGTATTAAAAAGCATGTATACTTTTATTATCAAAGATAACATAATCATTTGGTGTATTTATTAAATCTTTCAATTTCTTTACATCACTTTCTTTCATATCATCAAGATATGTCAATTGATGTTTTTAAGAAATCATCTGTTATTGAAATTTTTTGTTTGAGATGAAAATTGACAACTAAAAAAAGTTTTATTATACATAGAGACCACATACTATTGCAGAGGGTTAGTATTGTTCCATCAGTGTCCTTAAAAACAAACTGTTATTGCTACAAGTTAGTCCTTAGCTGCTACTTTATGCTTTAGAAAAGAAGTACACCTTGACTTTATCAAAATTTTTTTATTTTTTTCCTCCTATATATCCATGTCCATTGGACACATCTAACTGAAGAATATAAAACATACTCTGGTCTAAGGTCTTCCTTTACTTAGATCTAGATTTTGCAATGGCTAGGGGATGTAAAATAAGTACCAGCTGGAATTGAACCATTTGTGATCGCAGAAACAATATTGTTTCATTTATATTCTATAAACAAAATGGTAGATTGTAAAGGAGGATACTTGCAGAATTCCTCTTTTGCTCTACGTATCTTAAAATTTTAATCCAAAGTTTCCGAATAATTATTAATAATTTTAACAATTAAAAAATTATACTTTTCATAATAATATTTATGTATTATTTAATAATAATATTTCTAAATACTTGTTTCACTAATTTTTGCATTTTTTAAAAACCATTGTGAAGATCAAAGAAGAGTTCTGCATGCGACAGTGGCGACGCCCCTCGTAGAACTACCTATTTGATGACACTAGCGACCTGAAAGAAACGTCTCGATAATCCAGACAATGACCTCAGCTAGTTAGCGGCAACAAATGGAGACACAGAGACAGCACGGTAAAGACTAACAATAAGAACCGCAAGACAAACGTGTGTTAACATGGTTCGCAACCACAGATTAGACTCTAATAGCTAGACTGCGGATATTTATGCAATTTCGTATTTTGGAGAATATAGTTAAAAAAGTGAAACTTAAATGGAGATTTGGTTCACTTACTACATATTATAATAAGTACAGTAGGGTCTCGATTAATACGTTCACTGTGGATCCAATTTTCATAATTCTAACAAGTAACTTTTATATATAAGACCTATTTCTACATTGTACAATTTTACGCAAGAGTTTGATATTAATTATTATAAAATTTGTTTCCGTATTTTCATGATTCTTAGTTCATGTTTTGAAGTTTTCAGTTTAAGTTCTAGTTGATATCTTTTGATTATAACTTTAAGTTTTATTGATCCGGACTCTACTTCTATTTTAGATATTTTCTTGAAATTATATTTTCGCATTTTATACAGTGTAGATTTTCTTTAAATAAATGCATAATCATCCACAGTCCACTAATAGCCTAATATCCAGCAAAATTGCCAGGCGGCCGTGGTACGTCAAAGCGGGGATTCCCGTCGTATGAGACCTGCGCGCTAAAGCCGTGTTTCCAATCGGCGGTGTAACGAACGACCTGCAGCCTTCCGTCCGGAAGCTGGACTCTGTATTCCCCACGGACGATGTCTCCGTCGCTTATCGCGTTGTGGGAATAATCATTTCCAAATGCGTCTTCCTTCACCGCGTAGTTGAAGTCGAATGGCATTCCTGGCTCGTGATGATGATGATCGTGCTGGAATTAGATTTAAAAAATCGTCTGATACTAGGGTTTTGCGATTGACCTGTAATAATACAATTTTTCAAATTACCAAGGATAAAATTTTGGGGTTAATTATGATAATAGAATTTTCCAAATTCGTATAATATAGAATGAGATTAACATCTTCGCTTTCACAAAGTGACGCAACATATGCGTCCTGAGGATTTCTTATCACATATATAAGTACAGTATTTTATCTATTTTCTATAAAAATGTATATTTGTAGCCTAAAGGCCACTTATTTGGGAAACAATTTGATTGGAAAATACACAACTTTACAGAAGTTTATAAATATTTTAAAGATATATATTTTTACTGTTACTTACCCCACCAGCAGGTAAAGTAGTTCCAGTTGGCCTAGTGGGTGTCCCATAATCAGGAAATTCTGGGGTGGGCCTGGTACCTGTTGGTGGATACCCTTCGCTAGGAGTAGTTCTCGATGGTGGAAATTTGGAGGGGGTCGGTTTGGAGTATGGACGTGATGAATAAGGCGTCGTCGTGGGAAATGACGGTCGTGGGGTGGTTGGTTTTGTAAATGGTATCCGAGGCGTGTCGTAGGTGTAACCCTTGGTTGGTTCAGGTGGCAAATAGGTGTTGCGCCTTGTCCCTGGTGGTAGATCACATATCACGTGCACTACTGCCATGCAAAGTATTGCTATCTGCAATGAAAAACACATAGATAAATTCATTCAATAGTATTTTAGCAAATTATTAATCAACTAAATTGCGAATATATTTGGTTTTAATAAAACTGATCTATTACAGAAAGAATAAAGTCATTTTTATTAACAAAAAGAAATAAAACAAATTCTTTACAAAAATATAAGAAAAAAAGTGTTTCTATTAATACCTCTTTCTTATAATCTCTAACAAAAACTTTGTCCTGAAAGGGATATTTTACTTAATTACTATGTATGTATGTTACTTGTTAAATTACAATGTAGGACAGATTCTGACGAGAAATTTTTTGTTGCAGGTACAACGAAGGGGATCTCCTAGTGAAATATAGGAAAAGTGGAACAAAATTAACTGTGTAATAGATGGAGGAAGAAGAAGCTAATTATGATTGCAAAGATTATTGTTGTTTCTTCAAAGATATCCTCCTACTTCGTCCACCTACTCCTATTTACACAACAGCACACTGAATCATGGCGCAGCCTTTAATGGCAGTGAATTTCCTCTTCTCTGCGAAACGCGTGTCAGCTGCGGGCACAAAACGCAGCACGTGATGCGAATCTAATGAACTGTTGGCGTGTTGCAAATTAGTCTATACTTGGATTTGGCAACAAGTCGACAGATGTATAATGCGACATTCGCGGGCGTTGTTTTCTTTAATTAGTGGCTTAAAAGATTACGCAAACTTAACATCTTAGGACACATGTCCTGTATAAGTGGTAGTAATTAGATTTTTACAAGCTTATTTCTAACTAAGCTATTGTGACCTAACGAGTCAGATTTGCTGCAAAAAATATACATAGTTCTAATTTGATAAAGGTAGATTGAATTTGTAACACAGGTTAAATTACTTTTTTAAAGATTCAGACCATTTTTGTAACATCCTGTATGTCATATTTTCATATTGTATTACCTGACATGGTGCTATAACAATGGACAACTAATGCTTATTTGCTCATTAAAAAAATCATAAGACAGAAGATCTCAATCACTATAAGTGAAGAATAATTAAAGAGACGATTATTGAGTATAACTTGTTGCAATTATGAGGAAGAAGAAATGATCTAATTATAAGAATTAAATACAGAGTTAATGTTCAGTTATTTACTGAAAAATCATAAAAGAAGAGATTAATGATATTATAAGCGAATACAGTGATCGAGAAGACTTTTGTTTGGAATGAAATGAAAGAAGAAATGGGTCAATTATAAATTAGGAATAGAATATCGGAAAAGTAAAATTAAATCATTAGCAACGAGAAGCAATTGAGAAGAGAATAATGGAAGAAGTGCACAAAGAGCGACGTAATTGCTCAAAGAATACTGTATTTCACTGTGCGTATGTGTCGCTTATTCGCAGGGATTTCGCAACGATTTAATTACACGCCTTCCGCCTCATTTCTACTTGATCTTCTGGCTGTGATGACCCCGGTACAATGAATGCGTACGAGACTGTTTCCTTCGGACTCGACTCGGTTCCTGATTGCTAAATTAATATGCACCAGGTCTGTCTTATTATAGAAATAAAACAAATAGCTCCACAATCTCTTCTAAAAATAACAGTAGGAAATTGAGTAGCATTTCAAGAGGAGTCCATATCTTGAAATGCTTCATTAACTGAAATCAACTGTCTTATTATGTTGCAACAAACATAACCCGAGATGAAACGTCCCGTAATTCTTCAGGTGGAAAAGATTCTATCAGCGATGCAATTAACTGCTCATTTACTGTTCGATTACGTGCATCGACGTTTCACCTGGCACGTGCAACGCTGCCCCATGGAAATATCAATCAGTTGAAGAGCTCTGCTGTTGAATGTACCATGAGATCTTAGTTCAGTGCACTATAGAATCCATTTCTGATTAATGTTTAAGGAATACTTGCTATGAAAGGCAAGGAGAATAATGAATGTAACAAAAGAAACTTATTGAGAAAACCAATTTTTAACACCTTAGCGAATTTCAAAAGAAGAGAAGAAATATCTGGTGTCAAAGGTAAAGAAAGAGAATAATGAATATAAGGAAACAGATTTATTATGGAAACCAACATTTAATACTTTAGTCCATTTATAAAAAGGACAAGAAATAGATAACAATTGATATGAAAAGTGAAGAAGAAGGACCCAAACCCAACATAAATCAATTTTTAACACCTTCGCTTATTATTAAAGAGGATACAGAGATGAGAGAGTATGAAAGATGAAGAAAGAGAATTTTGTAGAAAATTATTGAAATGCAATTAAATGTTTCAATGGATTCTTCTCTTCTCTTCTTCTCTGAGATTGAATATCCTTGTAGAATGAAATATTGTATTTTTTACTAGTAATGGACTTAATGATAACGACCTTCACTCTAGAATGAGGAAGAAATTAATTGGAAAGTAGCAAGAAGTATTTCTTCCATTTGAAGACAGAATTATGAAATTTTTCTGGAGTGGAGCCAATCAAAAAGTTGAAGAAACAAGGAAATGCCGGGAATATTGCAAAATAATTCACAATCTTGCGAAGAATGTTAAACAGCCTTCTCTCACCA